AATCGCAGCTATTCTGCTGCAATCCCAAAACACACAGGTGTTAATGGAACAGCCCTGGCTCATACATATGCAATTCTGGAAGAGTTTGCAAACTCAGATTTGCATGACAGGCTAGATATTGTGTTCCTATTGAGGTAATTCAAACATACTGTTTTGAGTGCCATTACGAAAAAGGGTCCTGTGTGTTTGTAGCAGTGCCTTCCAGATTTGCAAGCGAGAGAGTAGAGTGGTATGGGGAGATAAGTGTTCACATAGGATTGCTATTGGCAAGAGTTTTTGCCCTGAAGTCGGTGGGGAAGAAGCGTGTGAACCGAGGATGCAATTTCTAGTTATCTGGAATTTGGCAAGCCCTGATATAGCACATTGCCACTTGAGTGCAGTTTTAATTTTTTTTTAATAAAGAGCCTTGCACATTGATTGGTTGGTTGGTGCCTTGCTCCCTTTGTTTGATTGGAGCTTTGGGTGAGAACCATTCAAGCAGAATTTGGTATGCAGAGGATTAAAATTCACATTTTCATGCTGACTTGGACCAATTTAGCAATTTAAGGGACCACATTCTAAGTGGAGGAAATTTCAGCAGGGGCATTTTTCTTCAAGTGTTTTTTTTTTTGAAGTGAAGCATCTAATGGCTGGCATGTGAACATTTCCCTATCACCTGGGACAGCTGTTCTACACTACCATACTTAAGCTTTTGGTTATTTGTAACATTTTAAATAGTTTTGTACATATTAACCACTTGCCCTCCAGAAGATGCCCTTCCTGGCCAGACTATTTTTTTGCAATACAGCTGTTACTTTGACAATTACAGTCATACAAGGCTGTACATAAATGAATTGTGGTTTCTTTTCCCCACAAAGCTTGGTGGTATTTGATTGCCTCTGGTTTTTACCTTCTGCATTAAACAAAAATAATTTGAAAAATTCTCACCTACTAGAATATATCCAATAATAAAATTTAGGCCAAGATGTATGTAAAGAACCCAATAAGTGTGTAGATTAGTTTGCAAAAGGTAGCATCTACAAGCTATGGGACACAGTGGAAGTTTTATTTCTAGTAAGCAGCAACTTCTAGCTTGACTGAAGTATTGCAGTAGACATTTTTGCACTGACACTTTGTCAGTGACACTGTACTGACACTGGTTGAGAAGGGCTAAATATCTAGCGTGACCAAAAGGGTTAACTGTGCTTTGTGTACACTAGGTGGTGCTGTTATTAGCGGAAGTGAAGAATCATGTTCCTAGCTTTGAGGGACAAACTATCCTTTACTTCCCACCCTGGCAGAACAGAACTGTACCTTGTTCGGCAGAACAGTTTTGTCCCGCCAGACAATCGGTAGTTGCCAGATCCATGCACTGGGACCCGCAGATGGGTTTCTGCTGCGAGTGTTCACTGTAGATGCGCACACCCCCATAGCAGAAGTGCAATATCATATATCTAATTTTGCACAGCAGAACCACCCTGAAGCAGCAAAACTGCTATAGGGTGGTCTTCAAATTGTTAAGGTGCTACACTGTGGGGTTTATTTACTAAAGCTGGTGAGTGCAAAATCAGGTTCACTTCTACATAAAAACCTATCAGCTTCCAGATTTTATTGCCAAAGCTTAACTGAACAAGCTGAGGTTAGAAGTTGATTGGTGCACCTGTGTATGGCAGCCAGATTGTGTAAACCAGCTTTAGTAAATCTCCCCCTGTATGTAGAACGGGGGATTTATCATTGTTATTTTGAAGGTATTCAGATTTTATACATTTGTATGCGCCAACATAACATTGAAGCCTAAAATTGTGTTTTCTTATCCAATCCTTGGGGCACTATTCTGCCAACAATGAAGCACCATTTCTTCCATTACACCAACAAGGCACTATTCCTCTCACCAACAGGACACAATTTGATCCCACTAATGTTTAGGAACTTGAACCAATGTTCTTAAAAGTCAAAATGAAATGCTATTAGTGTATAGACCGCTTTACAGAGACAAATGGGGGTGAAGCAGCTTCTATATTTAGTTTGTTCAAAAAAAAAAAAAAAAAAAAAAAAAAAAAAAAAAAGTTACTTTGGAACATGTTACACCGGTATTTAGGAAGCACCATTTTCCAACACCTGCCTCAATCACAGCTTCCTTTGACGAGATACACTCCTACAGCCCCACTGAAAAGCAGCAGGGCTGTGTGGGGCCTGCAAACTGCACAGCTACATTATTCATTTACAGGGCTCTGTGAAGATACCAAGTGCCATCTGCCACCATGACAGATTGGTCATGTACTTCTTAGTGAGACTGCAAGGGCACCAACAAGTGCCATCATGCTCCTGACCAGAGGCATAACTAAAACCTTCAGGGCCCCAGTACAAGAAAACATTAAAGCAATTTTAGGAAATGTGTTTTAATCAGAGTCCCCATTTAATCACAAGAGACCCCCTTTACATCTACACTGTAAGGGGGACTTTATAGACAACAATGTAAGGGAGGACTCTAGAGACTCAAAATTTAAGGGAGAAAACCAAGAACCCCTGATGTAAAGGGGTAGATACCACTTTATGACTGGCGTAAAGGGGAACTCATGTAAGGGGGCCACCAGTAACCAGAGCCCCCTTACACTGTATCATAGTGTGATCAACAAGCAGCTAGTAAGCACACTCTGGAACAAGTCAAGTTCATTCCCTCCCCACCACCTTCATGAGTCTTGAATCCCTCTTAGAAAAATTAGCCATGGCAATCACAAACAGGTCATGAGAAACTTTATTACCAATACAAGGAAATCTCTTGCAGTGTTTCTACAAAATAGAAATCTCAATTCTTTAACCTTCTGTTGTATTGGCAAGATCTGTACAAAACCCATCAAAAGACTACACTGAAAAGTTAGTCATTAGCAGTGTTAGACTGAGACACTGTTTGGTATCAAACTTGGGTCCAGGTAGGGATATGGTAGTTGCATGGTTTTGTTCCTCTCTTGGATGGATTTAGAGATGTCAGCCAGTTCATGCTGGAATTCTTTAATGAATTGTTGTGGTGTCTTCTCTGTAAACCGTTCATCAGGGTAGATACCAAGATACCGCTGTAGAGAAGCCCATTAGGTTAGTAGTGCAATACATGGGCCAGAATCTCCTCCCCCCCGGCTAACACACGCTATTCTGCCTTTGCAGCGGTCTGCTTTTAGTTCTCAATGAACTACCATGGTGCTGTAGAGTGGTGTGGTAGTTCAGTCTTCCTGTAAGTCAGTCATTTGCTTGCCTGTATGGGATGCATGAATACACAGCTACACTAACAGGTCTGCAGGAGACCTGCATGGCAACAGCACTCTACTGATTGCCAGTGAAAAGCATTAGAGGCTCAAGAAATAAATGCACGCTCTACCTGCAAAAGAGTGCATTTATTTGTTAAAATGTGAACTTATTCTTTAAGTGATGGTTTTTTTTCCAGAAACTGAAGGGAGCCAATAAACTGCGAAATTCCATATCCCAGAACAAGTCCAGTTGAATTTTACCACCCTCACTACCAGAGGCTACACCATGGACTTGCATAAACTCCAGACAAAGCAGTTTTCAGACAGACAATAGCACTGCATTTGCAAAAAGCTATGCTACTGATCAAAATAAAAATAAATAAGTACAGGTTTGTATATTGCTCCTTACCAGGCCCTGGCACTCACCATATCCATAGGTGGCTTGCTGAGAGATCCCACACTATAGCCATGGTAGCAGCTGTAGTGTTCACATCAGGCAATGCATTTAGAATAGTTTGCATAGTGGTTATGCCTTTAGCAGCAGGTGGGGGACTCTTCATGGAGCTGGGGCCATTGGGCATCCAAGAAAAGATGTCAAACTGCAAACACAGATGTCCAGATTATGTATAATCCAACTGAAAAAATTATGGAAGCCATAAACAGTTAAGGATACGTTCACTTTTTGAAACAAATTACATCCATATTCAGGGTGTAACATGTTGCAATTAGACAAGCCCCTGCACTTCTCTCCTGCCCCCCCCCAGTTGTGCCAGCTAACAGGGAACCTTCTGACTGCTAGCTGTCACAATTTAAAAACAAATAAAACCCAGAAATGCAGGGATCTGCCTGCCCAGCTGCATCACTACAAGTTCTGACAACCTTTGCAGCTGTCAGCTTGCAGTTGGTCAATGAACTACCGAGGGATGTGGAGTTCTGTGGTAGATCATTCAGTCTTCGATAGCAAGTATCTGCTTGCCTGTACAGGATGTATGGGCAAGCAGATCCAGTGACCGGTCAAAAAGGGAAACCTGCATGGCACCTGTGATCTGTGGTCAGAATGCTTTACAAGCTCAAAAAAAAAAAAAAAAAAAAAAAAAAGAGAAGTTTGTTGCCCACCACACTAGCCAAGAGATATTCTGACCCGCATTTTAAGAAGACCAAAACGCTATGGCACAATTTTTAGTAGGTGCTCTAAAGCATGTAGAAGCATTAAGACCACGTTAACGGCAGCAATTTGACTTTTAGCCAAGGTTAGACAGGATGCATGACTGTCAGTTGCAGCTTTGCTGGGACTACTTAAGTGACAACCATACATTTATATGGAGGGAGACAAAAGCTTTCAGAAGGGCGTGAAGGTTGTAAGCAATCATAAAAAGGGGACCATCCCACCAAGATAACTCCATTAGGAGAGTTACAACTATTTAGCATCATTGGAGATTGGCTATACTGAGGAAGTATAGGGAAATCCATCCAAAGTTAGGAAATCCCTGGTTTTCACCAGAACTAGAGGCCCTATTCGAACATTTTCCCCACCTAATGCGGTTAGAAGCAGAAGTCAATACAAAAAACGACTGATGTCAGCTTCTCTGAGAAGTGGAGAACATCCTCACAGCTTAACTATAGATAAGCCTGCAATAGTCACTATCAAGGCTTCTCAGTTTTAAGAAACTGACACCTTACGGTCAAGGAATAAACAGGAATGGTTAAGAGTTGCAGTGGTAAACAGCAAATAGACTTCTGGGACTTGTGTAGGTTCTGGGCCAGTGTTAGCTTGCCACTTACCTGACCACTATTAACGGCTGAATGTTGAGCAGAACATGTAAAGATCATCATAGTCAGATACTTGACCAGAGCTCCTTTAGACTCCAAGATAGATGGGATTTCTGTCACAGAAGACATTTTAGTACAGTATATCAATTACCTTGAAACAGTGACTAGCATTCCAGTGTGCATCATCACAAACACATGGATGGAAAGGACCATGTCTGTAGTGGCAGAACAGCATCTTTTACATAATCAAAGTGTATTTGTCACTATTTTGTTCAATCCTTGAATTAAGCCTTCAAGCAGATATAAACCATTCCCTGGTGTGATACAAGCCAAAAAAGTCCAATCTTTGCAAGATCTTAAGGCAGCTGCCTGATAGAAGAAGAAAAAAGGTCATGTTCTGAGAGGGTTCCAGGCCATGCTTTTCTTGTGGATTACAGGAATGCACTTTTGCTCTGACCCAGAGTCACCTTTTAGTGGTGTATTCTCCACAGTCAGCCAGCTGATGTCAGAGCCACTGTAGGATCCTGATCATATTGTGATCCACCTAGCTCTGCCTCAGCATACAGCTGCACTAACCCTCTCCAGCAGGGTTCCAGTGAGGGCTGGAGGAGCAGAGCTGAGAGCAGCAGTTGACAGTCCTGCTCTCCACTATGACAAGACAGACCTGAGCAATAAATGGTCATGTGATTTCTCAGGGCCTAGAGCCAAATGTGACAGCTGCAGCATCTCACCAATGCAGACAACTCAGTCCTTTACCATACATTTGTCAGTTGAGCACTTTAGAGCAGGAAACCTACCCGAGTTTTTATATTCCAGGAATCCTTCCTTGAAGATCTCAGCCACCCAGGCCTGTAATTCAGGGTCTTGGCTGATCATTTCATCACTTGTATAGTAATATTTGACAACTTTTGACACAAAGCTAGAAAAAAAAAAAATATATACCCTGAAGAATCAGATTTAAGGACATTTTAGGGAAGGATGCGGTTTAATGCCAACATTCTAAATAGTTACCTCTCTACAGCTGACCAGATCTTCATACCATCATCCCTGTATAAGTAGTTAGGAATGGACTGCATTCCTCTGCTTGCAATGCTATCAGGGAGACAAAGGCTACTGTAGTTTACCCCAACCATGGCTTTTTTCAGGAGTACTGGAATCCCTCCATTCCCTACCACCATAGCCTGGAGAGAGAGGAGAAAAAAAAAAAAAAAAAAAAAAAAAAAAAAGAAGTCCAAGCATTAAATAAAAGGTTAACAAAATCACAGGTACAACATTTAGCAATTTCTGTATTCTCACCCTTTGTTACCAGGTCCTTTTCCAGCTCTGTCTTATGTGCTTGACTGGATTCCTGTCATGCAACACTGTACCCATTTTGACAAACCTTTTCTGGTGGTAATAACCACTTTACTATATGGAAAAGAATCTGAAAAGTTTTCCCCATTATAAATTTAACACATGCACAAAAATGACAGGACATTGAAAGTCACCATGTCCCCTTTTTGAATATTAGACACTCCAAGGTAATAGTTTGCTACCTTTTTGGCAACAAGGCAGCATCGAAGGGGATCAAAACATGGTGCACTTGGTATATTAAGTGTACAGGTTTGACAAAGGGCTCAGGAGGTGGAGGGATTAGTGTACAAGTCAGATCAGAAACCAACACATACAGGAGTGGTGTTGACAGTAGGGACAATTTTCAATTTTAATGTTGGCACTGTACTGTTTAACTGATGCTCACTGGTTGTCAGAAGACCCTCTGTTCCTCAGAGGTGGAGAGAGAAAAACCCTGTGCTTCCCATCACTGGCCAGAAGTAACAGCCTTTAGCTGCAGCATTGCATTCTGTTTGGCTCTACCTTCTGTCTAATTAGTCATGTTGAATCCATGCACAAGAACTGTTCTGTTAAGCAGTCAGTACACCCATCTAGATAAATTGGTGGGAAGTTTTTTATTTTAGAAAAACAAGTAAATTTTAGCCTCTAACGAGACACCTGTTGCCAAGTTTCCACTTGGGTCATGTTTAAGACCATAACAAGGACTCTCCCTACTATGTATGACAAACCTGACTGATTTGAGTCCTTCATGCAGGACAACATTTGTGACATATGGCTTAACTCCGTCAGCCCCAATTGTCTTTAGGTCATGATAGCAAGGGTAGTACTCAGTTGGGTGGGGGCTTTACATTGCAAGTCATACGATTTGTACAAGGACTTTAAATCTGTTCTAACATTGTCTAATCTTGTGGTGACTACACATCTTGCCAGACACTTACTTGATCAAAGAAGGCTTTGGGTCCAATAAGCTGCTTCCTGGCCAGGGTGTTTATTTCCAGTGTGTAGCGCAAATGTGGAATAATCAGCTAAGAGTAAAAAAAAAAAAAAAAAAAAAAAAAAAAAAAAAAAAAATTATACGATTATGCATTACAGCAATGTAAAACCTGCAAGGTCAAACATGAGATGCAAGATGAGTCAAATATGCCCATGCAGGTTTAAGTTTAAAAATGCCAAACTTTCTAAGCAAAGCAGCTGCCTGTTTATCGGTATAGTTTGTCAAAACTGCTGGAAAAATTTGGTAGTAGGCAAAAATTAAAGATGTAACCCCCCCCCCCCCTTAACATTTAACTACAATACATTCAGATGTAAAGTGAGGAACTTTAACCACTCTGGTAAAAATTTCCATCAGTGCAGTGCAGGTGGGGTATGACATTTATTCATATGCCATGCACTGCCACCAGGTCCCTGCTTCCCCAAATATTCTGTCAGCATGCTGACTGGGTATCCAGTAATTGAGACAGCACAGACCACCAGCAGTTTGTAAATTGGTATGAAGTGGCTTGCATGGATGCCTACAGCTGGTTAGGAGTGCTCATGCAAGTGTGGCTCCACAGGATCCTGCAAAGAGCCACTCTACATCCAGATATCACTGCCAGCACTCAGAGTACAAGTTAATTCTGGGGTGGCCATGACACTATGAATGGGAAAAGCATCAGGAAGGAAGCCTGGTTACATTACCTTTCACTTTGTAGGAGACCACTGCTAACGGGCGACTCAGAATGCAGCTACGATTTAAAACATTGCAGCATTCATGGTTTTAAACAGTCTCTTGAAAAGGCCATCCAGTGGTTATTTGGGTACATTTTTAAATAACCAAGTCAATACAGTCATTTACATTAGCTGTGAAACTAATCATGACCTAGGTTGCTGGCAGTTCACTGCAAGGGTAAAAATGGATTTGCAATGCCCCCCTCACCTTATACACTGGGTGTGCCATTGGAAGTTGCCTGGTTGTGGCAATCGAGAAGACCTCAGCTAACAGATGGGTGCGGAGAAGATGAGTGTCAACCTCCTGTACCTGAAAGTCAGAATTGCGCACCCAGAGCTTGGCCAGTAACCAGTCAAATTCAGAGTCACTGGGCAGGAAGATTGGATCACCAGGGGTCTGAGACAGCTGGATACAGAAAGAAATAGCCAAGTCAAAGAACCAACATGTACACAAAATATATTAGTAATCATTAGAAAGCCATGCACATGTTTTCCCTCTTCTAGTTGATTATATAACCACAAAGCTGGCCATGTATTTTACTTTGTTTTGTATTGCACCCATTTTCTCATAACCAAGAGTCATTTCCTTATGCAGATGCAAATATGAAGTTTCAGACTAATTGAAAAAGAGTTCACCCCCACAAGTTTTATGTCCTTGTTTAGTTGGTTCACAAGATATAATGCAACTAAATGGAAGCTGTGATCAAATGGATTGTGTCCTTCAACCCTTTGAACTTGACAATTATGAAAGTTACTGGCCATAGTTATAAATGTCCCCAGCATTTGAGTCTGTAGAAAATATCACTGGTGGTCAATTGAACAGGAGGTGCCCTATAACTGGCCTTCATCCTATAAGCTTCATAGCCTGCACTGCTCTTGCTTGTTCTATGCCTGGACTACACAGGCACCATTGTGCAAGAGACCAATTATGCTGGAGAGATTGCTTGGTATTCAAATGAGGAATCCACAGCTTTCTTCAGCTAGCAAAGGAAAAAACTATGTAGGGCCTCATTGCAGGTGCTGGTTTACTGCTCAAGTAGCAGGCTATAAATTTGGGATTGCCAATATAGACCTCTGTTTGTGCCTACTGTCAGTCAATGAATCTTCAGACCAACATGCGGCTATTACCAGGGGCACATAGCATTCCTGGGCCATGGAAGAGGTTAAAAAAAAAAAAAAAAAAAAAAAAAGTGTACCAATAGTCAAGCACTGGCTGATGCCAACAAATAGCGCAAGTTTAAGGATTGGTTTAACAAGTGTCATTGCAGATTTATATTACATAATAACATACAACTTTCTGAAGACTGACCATACCTGGATAGCAATTGGGACAAGCTGATCCTGACGATTTTTCCACAGCAGACACATAGGGGCTGCAATGTATTGTTGGTGTCCATTGACTGAGTTATTCGCAGGAACATTTTCAAGAATCTTATAGTCTGCCAGGAAAATGTGACCATTCTGCAAACAGTTTAAACAAATCTCAGATTTTATCTGTACACTAAAACATTTGTTAAACCATTAAGACCAAACATTCATTCAGCCCCAAATCAAACTGAACAGTGCATATGTTCAACCCAAAGATTTTGCATCTTTGTCCTTCTTGGGGAGGCTTCCCTGCTTGTGTCCTGTTAAAATGGGGATGTTTACCAACAGAACCTTTAGTACAATGAGAAATGTTTAGACCCTTGTGACAATGTTACCATCTCTGCTATCCTGTCCAAGAAGGAACTGAAACCCCCCAGTGAAGAAACTCAAATTGGGTCATGAGCATGAATTGTAGATGTTTTATGCCTTGCCCTAATCCTTGGCTTGAATATGTTCTAGAACATGAATACAGGGATCTTCCATTGCATATTCCCACCTGAAGTTCATTCACTAGGTTTGAAGGCCCTAGAGAGGGAGCCACCATGAATTCATCAACTGCAAAGTTGTTTGGGATTTTAAAGCATTTTTCAATCAGAGTTGGGTTAACTCCATTAAGATATTGGTTACCAAAGAAAGAATCCTCCTTCCACATCTCACTCATTAGAACTGAAATACAAGAGATATATAAAAACACTGGATTAATGCCAACAAGGTAATCAGTACACCTCACCCACTCAAGTCACTGAAGCCCCTGATCAGCCAACAATTAGGAAACCAGCATTTAGACAAAGACCATAATGGCAGCCCAGAATGCCCTAAAGCACATTCCTTTTACACACCTGAGTTCTCTGATCTTCGCAGGGTAGACACCATTCTTATGTCTTCGAGGTTATGCCATGAATTTGAGTTACAGTCAAATCCTTTCAGCTTTGTTTCTATGCCACTGAGAGAAGAGAAGTCAATAGCTATTAAATATGTATGTTTTGGACTTTTGTTCACTGGATGTAGAACCAATGCCCCATATTAACTCTGAAAGGAAGCTAACCCTGGCCAGGCTTTAGTGTTCATATAGAGATAGGCAGGCTCAGAAATGTAGAAGTAAAGCCAGTCTAGTTCCCATAAGTCAGAGCCTGTGTAGTTTATGGGTAAACTCAGATAAGTCAGTAATCCCGTTCAGCCTGACCACTGCTAGTCTGGATGGCTGTTAACCCATCAAATAATTCCAGTTGTGATGTTAAGGCATTGAAAGTGCTGGTTTTGTTGCAAGCACATCTGTTCTGGTATTTCAGCTTATGGATCTTGCGAATTGCATTGTTGCCACTGAATGGTAGTCTAGATCTACCTACAGATTCCCTTTATGGTGGGTGCAAGAGCATGTTCCTTGGCCTAATAAGTGTCTAACAGGAGCACCAAATTTAAGTTTGGACCCATTTTACTATATTGGTCAGTGTGAACAGCTATAATTGTCACCATGAGCCATAGCTGAATGGGTCAGATAGGGGAAAGTTAGGTTAATTGGATTGTGTCTAAATTGGCTCTAGAAGGTGTATGTATAAATGCAAGTTAGTGACCTTAGATTGTACACTATACATATTGTACACTGATGTGTATAGTGTACAATCTAAGGCCAATAACTTGCATTCAACTGTCAATTGATGGCGCTCTATGAGTACCTGAAATAAAAGTGTCCCATTTTAAACTAATATGCATTGTGGTAAACACCTGTACTGCAATCCAATGTGTCAAAATTCTGTTTGAGCTTGATTAGCACACCTGTGCATGATAAAACAGCACTAGGGCTCTGTAGCAATGCATAGTAACCTGAAAGCAGATCAACATTTTAGGGAAGTAAAAATCCCCACACATGGCAGATTGTGACATCACTGCACAGTAGAGCCAAGTGTTAAAGCAGTAACTAGGAGCAAATTCCATTTACATGCTGACAAAACATGCCCATTAACAGTGGCAGAGTGAACTCACTATCACCCACCAGTACATACAACCTATGCTCAGTACAGTGAAATGAGGGCTGGGCAGGTGGAGCAGCCACCCTGGGTGCACTGGTAGAACAGGGTGCCCACTCACTGCATGCTCCACATCAGTGCACTGCATCCATTCGCTTTAGGTCTGCTCACAGCTACTGATATTTGTGGTCTTGTTGGAGCACCATCCAACAGCGTGTTTACAATTGCTAGCCGATAGGAGGCAAATGAATAGCCATGCATGTGCAAAGAATGGGCATAGGGTGGTACACCCAGTCTGTCATGCATCAGTTTAGGGAAGTGGTGCAGTTCATATCCATGCCCTAGGCACTGCATGATCTGTCCCAGTACTGAAAGATAGATCTAGTTTTAATGCAACACAATTAGATTGGTGCCCTTTCAACCTTGTTGAAACAGCTTAAGGAAGGTCTGTTCCAGCATAACTGTGCCCCTGTGTACAAAGCCACCACATTTCACCATCTTGTTTCGAGAACTGAATTGTCTTGCTCAGAGCCCTAAACCTCAAAATTGACACTTTAGGAAGGACATTTGAATGAGCATTGAAAAAGCAGGTCAGTGACCAGAATCTGACCAACATCAGTACCTGGCCTTACAAAAAAAGGCATTTGTCTGAAATTGCACACCATACCCACATAGGCTCCCAAAAAATTGGGCTGATGCATTTCCAGCAAATGGAAACTACTGGCAGCAATAGGAAGGTTCACTTTTCCTTGGTGCAAAAAAGGTTTATGCCAGATGGGTATGGTCCTGTTTAAGATACACCTGTGTGAAAATACATTTAACCATTTTTCAAGTCATTTGCACAAAGGTTCAGTTTAGTAAGCTTGACACGAGTCCACCATTTCCTGCCTTTTAGCATAGATACATACGTAGCCAGGACTGTGTAGCCAAAGCTGCAGTCTCTCAGAATGGAAAACTGGTCATTGGGGGGCAGATTATAAACTTCATCCTTAGCTATGTCAATGCAACGAGGGACACCTTCTGCATAGACTCTCCACCTATAGAGAAAGTCATTAGACAAGTTGTGAATAACCATTACTAGTTCAACTAAATATTAAACTTTGTTCAACCATTCTGAATGAGCAGGTCTGATGAAAGCATTACTGTTTAATTAGAAGACAGAACAGCTTCTCCCAGCAAAGCACCATCACTTAAATTTAGTATGTGCCACAGCACAGCTCTGAATTATTGCATTAAATTTTGTTTGTGTACTAGCAACTGCCAGCCCTGCTCATACCAGGAAAGGAAGACACCACACCGATCAGCCAGTTGTGCCTAGTTTCATGAGGTGACATGTTTATAGGAGGAGAGAGCAAAGGGACAGGAGATCATTGTGCTGCCTCACTGTACAGGTCTGGGGGAGGGACAAGACCCAGAAGTGTTACAACATTTTTGAAAGCACTAGAACTGAATGACGTTAACTGGGGCATTTATAACCTTTATGGTGTGTTCAGGATGCTATACAACAGCTGAAAACATCTGGTGTTTAAGCTCCAAGTGCCCCAAATACATCTGGCATTTTTTGCTGGCCAATAGCCAAGAAGAGTGGAAAATTTGAGCAGAGTGAAAAAAGTTTTACTTTGACTGCTGGTGATTGTAGTTTTATTTTCTTTGTTGGGTCTTGCTAAAAGCTTTTACTTTTTAAAATCAGTAAATTTAAATAGCACTCTTTTCCTTAAGTCTGCTAATTAAGGGGAGGGGTTAATTGGTCACAGGTACTATATAACTTGCTGTAGAGCTCACTGAGCTGGCCTGTATTTTGCTTGCTGGACCTTCGATAAATGGAGTTAATAAACCAGAGTCTAACCTGTAAGTGACAACTGATATTTCCTAATATTGTGTGAGATGGGAAAACAGCTCTCATTGTTTGAACACTGTGTGGAAGTAAGTTGATGTTTTGACTGACATTCTGTCGTTTAGCCACAAGATGTCACTTTTTTCTAACAGGCTCAGACTGCATGGATATTTCTATATTCAATAAGAGGTGGAGTTTTCACAGAGTTGAGGGAACAGGAAGGGGAGACTGCAGCCATGTTTTTGGACGATGCCGAATGAAGGGGCTGTGTGAGCTGAGAGTCCGACATTCAGGTGTGGGAGCTTCCCTCGGTAACCTGGAGCTGAAGCCGATAGTGTCCAGGACCCTGATCCTGTTTAGAGAAAGGAAGATTGCTGCCAGGAATGCTGATGAGAGCAGAGGAACAACGCAGCATACACTGCAGTATCGCAAGCACATTGGAGAGACATTTGTTCTGTTCAGAGTCACCAGCGGATGCAAAGCAGACCCTGGTTGGTAAGATCCTGCACGCACCTCATTTCAGTGTTGGTGCCTTGAGACTGAGTCCAAGCCTATAGTTAGGGTCTCTGTCAAGCCACAAGTGTTACAGATTATTGGAAGGACTCCACAACTTAAAGTGACATTTCACATTGGAGAGCTTATAAAATCCTACAAACTCAAGCCAGAGTGGCGTTTTGTGCAAAAGGAATACTCAGACACGTGCTACAGGACCAGTTATGGGAGGGGGAATACTGTAGATTTGTGTAACATTGTAAGCTGTTGTGCTGCACTGCAGGCTAGCCCATACTGTACACCCCTACACTGATTCCTGCTCTTTTAGGGTAACAGGTAGGGTGTGGCAGCTTATTTGTGCCCGCCAATTACTTCACTTTCTACCTTCATCAATCAGAAGGCACCATGCTATGCAGCACAAGGGTCTCAGCCTTTGGGCTGGGTGTATGTAAATTTATTGTATGTTGCCAGCATTTGTGGTTGTGCTCATTTGCCACATCTAAATAAAAAATTCTGTTGTGGCAAAAGCTGGTGTTGCTTTTGTTTGTGACTTCACTATCTTGGGGAGCCCACTCTGGTACGCGGCTTACAACTTTGTGTAGTGAGAGGATACAGCGACCGTTATGGACAGGAATGTGGTGGGAGATACCCTGGCGCCAATGGTCCAGGACCCAGCTCAGGGTGCTCTGGTGCAAGGCAACGTTGCCCCAACACCACTGATACAGCTTACCCCTGCCTGTACCAGTAGGGTACATTCCCCACGGGGGCGCTGTTGAGTCCTGACGAAGCTGACGAATTGGTCCTGACGAATCTGAGCGAGATACGCCCATCGGCAAAACACGTTGACGTCATACACGTCACTTCCAGTCATGCGCATTGGCGTTATGCACGCCAACCTACAAGGAGTTGGCCATTTCCACATGCCATGAGTCATGCACGCCAACCTACAAGGAGTTGGCCATTTCCACATGCCATGAGTCATGCACGCCAACCTACAAGGAGTTGGCCATTTCCACATGCCATGAGTCATGCAAAGCTGTACAGGTGCCATGGACAGAATGGAACCCATGAGATGTCAGCTGATGTAAGCGGTTGTTCCCTGGATCAATACAGCAGTACATAAGGACATTTCCATTATTTACTACCCATGGCACAGGTGGTGAGTGGACTGTTACAAGAACAAAGAAGGCTTATTGTTACTTATATACATCAGAGTGGGAGTACCCAGATTGACTGTCCTTATATCATTTGTCTTATTTCAGGATGGGGACATTATGATGCATTACCTAGATGCAAGGCATACAGCATATATTGCAACAAACGGAAGACCTATTGGGCCTCATTCTATCACGTATATCAAAGTGGTAGATA